AGTCACGTAATCTCGCTGACGCAACAATATATAACTTAGAGGCAAGTGATGAATTTTATAATAGATTGGGCTTCATATTTATCTTTAGTTTCGGGAAAATAATCTTCTTCAAACATAAATAAACAACTTAAAGCTGTTCGAGCTAACAAGCATGTAACCCAATCATAAAAAGAGAAATTTCATTGTGTATTACCAAAAACGAAATTAAATAAAAATAATGAAAAATAATTCAGTGAGAAAATAACTGGAAAAATGTTAAACTGTAAAGAAGAGATAAATAATGTATAATTGGTTGCAATTATTTCTAGAATAGATTACAATATTAATAATATCATTATTTTATATCGTTACTAATACTCTTTGTTTCATTTTTATCTCAGTTTCAGTCAGTTATTGTGTTGTTTGTTTGTTTTTCTGCTTTTAGGAATCATTTGAATTGTTGCATTTATGTTAGTAACTTTTCAAATTACGTTTTTTTATCGTTTACTACCGCAAGGGCCTACACATTGCACCATATTGAGTAATAAAGTTGGGTAAAACCTTTCATTCTCTGTGTAAAATATAGAGAGGCCCCATAAAAAAAATAGTGGGGTTAATTGCAATATTGGGGATGATTTTGTTGCATTTTTGTGGTTTTCTTACGTTATTAGTGGTTCTGTAACCAGTAAAGTCAAGGACCCACAACCAATCTGGAACGTATGCGACACCGACACCGGGACTCCAAAAACAATTATTACTGTATATTCTTTCGAAGTTTTATTATATCAGTTGTTTGTAATAAGTATTAAAGGTGCACTTATCAGACTTCTAATATTATGAACAAAATATATCTTTGTTTTTTTAAAAAAAGATTTAGTTGATAATCTGAAAATCATGAAAGTTGACTTGTAAGCATACAATTATGAATACGATGTTCGTTTAGGCTTGAAATAAAATGTCCCATATTTATTGTTTATTCTTAGAATATTTTATTGAATTTTATGTCAATGGTTGTAGCACTTGAGATACTAACAATAAAATGAAACTGTCGAAAAATATGAAATGGAAATGTGTAAAAAAAGTCACATTAACGATCATTTGGTGATGATTAGAAGTTTAATACGCATAACAAAGAACATCGCTCTTAAATGAAACTTTTATACGTTTATGTGTGATCGAACCTCTTTATTGTGTGTACACTTCTGTTCATTTATTTTGGGTTGTAATAAATTTAAAGAATTGTAACTATAAACCAACAACTATTTTTCTGGATCACTCGTTTCACAAACATTGTTGAAAGCCTGTTCTAGTTTTGGACTATGAATCTTTTTTTTATCAGATAGAATGAAGGCTTTTTACTATTATTGTAGAACATTATTTTAAATTCAGACTATGAATTAATGTTGGCTAGAGGGAGTTAACTTTACATGATGATCGCTCAGGAAACTATTTGAGTGCTATAAAATGCAAGTTACCCTAGAGTAAATAGTGACTGATTATTGAGTTAATGAGTTTAGTTGCTTAGTTTGCCTGTTACTATCATGTAGTTAGTCATTCATATTAGTTTTGTAAGTTGTGAGCTTATTTACAGAGAAGTACCAGAGGTACCACAAAGTACTGTACTTACAGATAAGTTAGCAAGTAATTGGAATTATATTGGCGTCTGCTGTGAACTTATGCATATCAGCGAACCTTAGATAAGCCAACATATAAAATTTCTGGTCGAATAAATAAAGTTGGTATCATTAAGTGACTGGTCTTTTTGACTGAATAATGTAAATAATCTCGCCTAATACTAAAAATCTTTATAACAATATGTATACAGTGGCGTAGCGAGGGTTTGGTGCGCCCGAGGACAAAGGGTTTAAAGTGTGCCTCCCATGATAAGCCTGAAGAAAAAAAAAAGAGCGTTTTGATGTGGCCAACATTAACAACTTACATATCCACTTTTCTTGCCCCCCCCCCTTTTTTAGTGCAATCACATATATGATGCCTTCTACGTCAATGCTTTCATGAGACACAGTGGCCCTCGGGTAAGTAAGAATAAGCTTTAGCTTGCGGAACGATCTCTCACAGCTAGCAATGGACACTGACTGTCATCAGTATTTACGGTGCTACTCTAAGATGTAGAAAAACGTCTTCATAAGACACAAAAAATTCAATAAGTTCTAGACGTGTTTTTAGCTGGAGATCATTCGGAGCACGAAGGAGCATTTCGACTGTCAGTAATTTTGTTGAATAGCTCTATTCCACTGATATCGCCATCATAACAACTCGCCAAGTCAATGCAACTGTCTCAGTTGCAAGAGAGTGTATCCGAAGAAAGACTCTTTCAAAGTCACCTTCTTCTTCTTCTTCTCAGAATTGATAAGAAGATATCTCATAACACGTGACAAATGGTCTTAATGAGCGCAATCCTGTGTCGAAACCAGCATAGTTCTG